AGAGCTACTACTACTAAAATTACATTTTATGTATTCAGTTTTATTTCTACTCAAACGAAGGCTTTTAGACTCCAAGGTAGACCTCTATAATTCAAGTTTTTCCTGAGCTTTTTCTCTTATCTTATCCACGAGAAGGATATCTTCAACTAAAAACATACAATAAGCTACATCCTCCTGTAAGTGTCGAGTAAGACCATCCATAACTAAAGCAAAACGATATGAGCTTAAAGCCGATCTCTGATGTAAACCAACATAAATCTACAACAACGACAAAGCCTTAATCCCATCAGGTCTCACCACCATCTTCTAAAATTTTCCTTTCATTCTATAAGAGGTTAAGTGGTTCTTTTCTATCACAAAATAGGCCCGAAGCATTCCTCCACTTCAACCAACCCACTTGAATTCAACTAGTAACATCCCCATCAATATCACAATTACTTCGAACAATAGACTTGAATTATCTAACGTATTCACACTTTTTAATAATTTGATCACCCATAGTTCCATCTTTTTTACTAGAGCTACTACTACTAAAATTACATTTTATGTATTCAGTTTTATTTCTACTCAAACGAAGGCTTTTAGACTCCAAGGTAGACCTCTATAATTCAAGTTTTTCCTGAGCTTTTTCTCTTATCTTATCCACGAGAAGGATATCTTCAACTAAAAACATACAATAAGCTACATCCTCCTGTAAGTGTCGAGTAAGACCATCCATAACTAAAGCAAAACGATATGAGCTTAAAGCCGATCTCTGATGTAAACCAACATAAATCTACAACAACGACAAAGCCTTAATCCCATTACGTGGTGTCGGCTACATGAATCCTTTTTCTCCATTGCATTCTTTTTATTGTCATATTTTCATTTAGTTCTAATAAATTAAGATCATTTTTTATACAATAAGCCCAAGTCTTCCTAGTTCTACCCTGCCTTTCTTAACATAATTCAAATCTAAAATATCTACTCTTCTAATCAGATCATCAGATGGTCGACATTTAATGTAACAAAACCATCTAAGATGACTCTCACTAATTTTGTTCGTCACTTAAGCTACACGAACCCTATTACAGATATATTTATTTCGCATTTTGTCTCTAAGTGTAAAACCACTTATCCACCTAATCATTCTCATCTCGACAACACTTAACTTGGTATTATGCTTCTCTTTTAAAAACCAACATTCAACACCATAGAGCATTGCAGGTCTCACCACCCACTTATAAAATTTTCCTTTCAGTCTAAGCGGTACTTTTCTATCACACAAAAGGCCCAAGGCATTCCTCCACTTCAACCAATCAACTTGAATTCTACTATTAACATCCTCATCTATATCACCATCGCTTTGAACAACAGACCTAAGATATCTAAATCGTTCACACCTTTTAATAACTAAAATTACATTTCATGCATTCAGTTTTAGTTCTACTCAAATGAAGGCCTTTAGACTCCACTGTAGACCTCCATAATTCAAGTTTTTTCTGGGTTTTATCTACTAGAAGCATACACCAAGAAAATATTTTATCAATCCTCCTTCTGTTCGAACACAAGTAATAGCTCTTGTAAACTTATCTTTAATGACTTGAATATAATTCATATCAACACCTTTCTTCTCAAGAACTCCCCAAAGGATATCTCTTGGAACCTTATCGTGAGTTTTTTCTAAATCAATAAAAATCTTATTTAAATCCTCCTTATTATCTCTCAACTCCTGCATGAAACCTCTCAATACATGTATAGCTTCCATAGTATACCTGCCCGACATAAATCCAAATTGATTATGACAAATCTTTGTAATATGTCTTAACCTATCTCCCATAATTTTAAAGCATGACACATCAACTTAATTCCTCTATAATTTGCATACTCTTGCGCATTCTTTTTATTCTTAAAAATGCGGACCAAAATACTCTTCCTCCGCTCCTCAAGAATCTTTTTAGTTTTTAAAATAATATTAAAGAGTTTAGTAAGCCAAGAAACTTTCAAATCTCGTAAAAATTTCCACACTTCAATTGGGATATCATTATGTCCTACAGACTTTTCACCCTTGATTTTCTTTAAAGCCTCCTCAACTTCTTTTTTGCTAATGCAATGGTAAAAATGAAACATTTTATTATTAATAACGATATTAAAATCACTAAGGCTGATCGTATTTTCCAAAACTTCATTAAAAAGTTTATCAAAATAACTCACCCACCTATTTTGAATATCTTTTCCTAAGAAAAACAATTTCTGATTTTCATCTTTAATATTCAGAAAAACAATTTCTGATTTTCATCTTTAATACACTTTACTTGAGTTAAATCTTTATTTTTCTTTTCTCTTTGATCGACTAATTTATACATATTTTATTCACCATTCTTAGTACCCAATATATTATAAAGATCACTGAAAACAGAATTTTTAGCGTCACAGATTGTTCTCTTAGATTTCCTATGGGCCGTTTAATATTTTTTCCAGTCCTCTAAGTTTTTACATTTAAACCATTTTTTATGACATAACTTCTTATATTTTATCTTTCCTTGCACATTATTATTCCACCACATACTATTTTTATTTATAGAAATTTTTTCTTTTGATTCTCCAAGTATAATTTTTACCACTTATTTAATAGTGTTTATTACTTTACCTCACAAAGAATTTGCTTCTTTATGAACATCCCAAAATTTTAAATCTTGATTTTTATTCATAAAAATAATTTTATTTGTGTCTTTTAAGTACCCCATATAATTCTACGATGATGATTCCCAGTATTCTTTATTTTACAAATCTTTATCTTAAAATCTAGAACTAATAATCGATGTTCAGTACTTAAATCCTCACTTGGAATGACCTTACAATCTTTACATTCTCGTCAATCTCTTATTCTCATAGGAAAATAATCAATTTGTGTTTTATTAGATCCATTTTTATAAGTAATTATATGCTCATTTCTTTTCATGAATAAAGTATTAGCAGTAACAAAAACATACGCTCAAACAAAATCTAATATAGTTTTACCTTCTTCATTAATCACTCCAAAATCGTAGCCATGATGAATATTTCTAAAATCTTCTACCACTCTACCGACATATTCATTTAAATATCCTCCAATAAAGATTGTTTCTTCAAGAGATATCATTTGTATCAAGTCTACAAAGTCATTTCAAAATTTATCGTTAGAAACTATATCTAAACCTACTTGAGGTGCATAAGCACTTATAATATTAAAAATGATAGTATCAACAATAATCTTCTATTACTCTACCCTAAAGTCAAGTGCAAACAAGAAAAGTTATTTTTTTTTCAGATATTGTTTAAGCTAATGGAGAGATGTTTCAAATTGTTAATTTTCATTGTAGATTTTACTTGTTTATAAATCAGTAATAAAGGAGAAAAATCTTTTTGGTGCTCTTTTAGGCATATATGGTTGTTTATAAGCTCATGTAAGGCATCCCTCATCGATTCAAGATGCTATTTGAGCTTTTATAGGTTATTGTTTTCATGAATGAAGGTTGCATGCTTATGCTTCAAGTGTTTGTTCAAATATCCTACATGTTTGTCATTTAAAGTGTCTTTTTAAGAGCATTCTCAATTAATGTCTTATTACTAAGCGTTGTAATCTTGATATTACTAGTTTTTTTAGCCATAGGGTGAGTTATTCTTGTTAATGATATGAGACTGAACACCATCATATTTGCTTGAACTGAGCTGGAGCAGTGTTCTACCAATTGTGATTGAATTCTAACCATGCATAGCCCTGCTTGGCTGTTCTAGTTTGCTGCCTTATATCTCAGTATGGAAATTTTAAGTATTTTGGATTAATTACAATAAACAGAGAGAGAGAGGAGGCCAAAATTTTTTATTGAACTTTATTAGTAAAATGAGGAGCGACTTGAGCATATTATTTGGCGAGAGTATTCTGCAGATTTATAATATATTTTTTATAAAATTTAAGCTAGATTCATTATGAATGTGAGTATGGGGCAACCAAGCAGCTATTGACAACTGAGTTAGATATGATAAAAATGGGAATATTATGGTGGATGCATCGTAGGTTGTGCGAGGATAGAGCTAGAAAGGATAATAATAAAATTTTGTGAGCATGTGTGGTATATGGAGAAAGAGCACAAGAAACATTATACACTATATTACATCTAGTATGTGGAATTAATGTGATAGTATTATGACCAAAACGGGTTAGATCGAAAGTGGCATGACTAGAGGTTTTACAAAGGGATTTTGAATTTGAATAAAGGTAAAATATACATGGCACATTAATCAAGCATATTTTCTAACATTCACCTCAAAAAAAAAAGTACTATCAAATCTGTGTATTTGCTTTTAACAATTGAATTATGGCAAAATATCCCAAAGAAAAACAATTACAAGAATGAGCACCTTATATTGTCATCAATAAAAATGATTGGATTAATATTTAAAAAGCTAATCCCTTGGTGGGACCGTGGGATGATGAAGATGAGGATGGTGATTTTAATTTTCTTGTAGCAATATAATCAATCAATTATGCACATGTGCCTGTAATGGTTAATAGAATTTGGAGTAGGGAGTGTTTTGAATTTGGATGTTCTCTACATCTTGTTTTGCTGGATGCTGATGTCAGCTGGGAGGATTGCCCTCTCTAAAGTAATTCCATTTATATTTATATATGTTTATGGCTTTTTAAACTGGCACTATTACCTGCCAATAGTTTTGTTTAATTTTATTACTACTTTCTTATAATGGCATAGAATGACTTGAAGGTTGGATAACGTTAGATGTTGGTGAATCTATAAATCCGCTGTAATTCACCATTTATTGTTGCTGTGTTTCTTGTTGGTCTACATGCTTGTTGTTTGATCATCTTTTTTTCCTTTTGTTGTCATAAATCTGGATAATTATATAAATCCTACGTTGGTATGCTAATAAGTTAAGTGGAATATTGAGCATCCACCATGCCGATTCATTCCATATGTCTGATTCGATGAATTTCTCACATTTATATTCACAAATTCATGCAGATATAGTTGTGAACAAGAAAATGTCGAATAATTTTGAGCAGGCTAGGAAGGAATTTACTGAATTTCAGGAGAAGGTGAAGAGGTCCGTGCTCCTTTCCAATCTTTCTCCTGAGGTTACAGCAGCTGTGTTAAAAATGGCTCTTGAACAATTTGGGAATGTTGTCAATGTAGAGTTCATTCCAAACTTGACAATCCCTTATGACATGCCGCAATGTGCTTTGGTAGAAATGGAGGACTCTGAGAAGGCAATTAAAGTTGTCAAAACAATGAAGGACTTCCCTTTCATGATTTCAGGGATGCCTCGTCCTGTCAGTGCTTATGCTGCAAAAGCTGAGATGTTTTCTGATCGCCCAGCTCAGCCTGGTAGGAAGATAAACTTCCGCTGGGTTGACAAGTCTAGTCCTGACTTTGAGGTCGGTGAGAGGCTTAAGAGGTTATGCAGTAGGCATGGCAAAGAATCTCTAGCGCTGGTTCAGGTTGGTTTTTTAAAAAAATTGATGATATAAAAATAAAGTAGATATTAGTATTTATTTTCATTGAGCACTTTTTGATAAACAATTCCTTGCGTTCAATTACAATTTTGGACAGTATATGTTTGGCCTTTGCTAGTTCTAGACAATTGAATCAATTAATCCTAAATACAAACCATCTTGGAAGGATATGTGAGTCCACATAATTTCCTTTGGTTGCAGCTCCAACTGGAAGAAGAAGAGAAGCTTGGGAAGCAGCAGGAGGATATGGTAACGTCCAACTACAAAAAGCATGAGATGATAGAACTATTATTGCTTGATGGCATTGCGGCAAAGTTAGCACATCGTTATGGGATTGATTTATCTGAGGAGTTAATATAACACATCGCTGTGAAAGGCATACAAACTGTAAAGTTGCAGCTCAAGGTTGTAAATATGCCACCTTGACGAGGATATTTAGTTCTATGTTTTGGCTGTGAAACTTAATGTTTCTATTACTTGGAGGCAGTCTTATAGGTATTTCTGTTGATTTTGGGCTCTTTTACTTGTAGTTTTGTTATGAACAACGTAGCAGAAATTTAATGAGATATTTCTACCAGTTGTCTTTATTGATGCTAATTTATGTAGGAGCTGAACAACTTCCAAAGTAACGTGATGAAGTTTTCTGCTACATTGGAGCGCTCAGAATTATTTCTGTGGAGTCATTTATATGCCTTTAAATAGCTATTATTGATTGAAATTTGTTTGGCGTAACCTGCATAAATTGTTTACCTGAAATCTTTCCGTTTATAAGAAGCATAAAATGACCAATTTTAGCAGGGATATGCATGTGAGTCTAGCTTGAAAAACTGCCTTATAAGAAGCATAAAATGACCAATTTTAGCAGGGACATGTGAGTCTAGCTTGAAAAACTGCGCTTTTCCTTCTCCGACTTTTAAGTTGTCAATTCCAACTTGTTGAGCTCGACCTGTAGCATATTTGCTGCTTTAATTCATTGTTGTGCTGTTCAATGGATTTTAAATGTTTTCCCTGCTCTTTTTTCCAGCATTATTATTATAAATTCAAAATCTACTAATACTAGTACTAGTGTTCATAATCTGTGCAATTTTTTGGGGAGCCATGTATATGCTGGACGTTTTTTATTGCTGCATAACGTCCAAATTGTTGTCGATTTAATTTATTTTTTTTATCAAAAAAAAAAAATCTTTGTATATATCCCTTTTAGCCGCACTATCTAGTTATTCTATTGCTTTCAAAGGAGAAGCTGATGCCCTTCACTTTTTTAGTCGCATAATGTCGTCATCATCAACCAACCTAAATCAATGGAGAACTCATGTAAAATGAAAATAACTTCCAAAATTTCCAGCATAATAATATTAATTTTATTCCTCCCATAAACTTCTTGATTACTCTCTCCTTACCCAATCAAAATGAATCTTCCTCATGTGATGCTCACATGCTGAGTTTCCACTATATTCCAACCGCCTAAAAGACCAAAATTTAAATAATTTTATTGCTTTATAGTTTATTGCATAAGCAGCCTGTTCATATTCCATTGTCAAGTGGTGGTTAGGAGCAGGAGAAAGCTTCCAGCTTTAAAGCTTAAAATAAATTGGGGGGGGGAGCAGAAGCAGCAAATGAAAACCAAGTCAGCAACCCACTAAACGCCATTGTTGGATGACGTGGACGATGAATGATGCGCCGGTGACCAGATGCAACTTTTCGCAGGCCGATTATTCTTAATTGAAACAACCCAGATTTCATTTGTAGTCATCAAACCTTCTTCTTCAGCTGTCCAGCTGTAAATGGCAGTTTGACACATTTTTTCTTCTTTTTTAGAATAAATTATTTCATGAAGACGTTTTGGCACACGAAAATTAAATAGTAAGTGACGAAAATGCTCTTAAGTTTAATGAAATAAGTTGACATTTTCAGGAGTGTGATAGGGAGGCTGATTCGTTGAGATTTGAGAGAGAGATCTGCACATACTAGTTCTAATTCAAATTCAGGAAGATTTGCATACATACATACCATTTAATTCTTATGTCTTTGCATATATAACCCCATCATGAAGACGTTTTGGCACACGAAAATTAAATAGTAAGTGATGAAAATGCTCTTAAGTTTGATGAAATAAGTTGACATTTTCAGGAGTGTGATGGGGAGGCTGATTCGTTGAGATTTGAGAGAGAGGTCTGCACATACTAGTTCTAATTCAAATTCAGTAAGATTTGCATACATACATATCATTTAATTCTTATGTCTTTGCATATCTAACCCCCTAACTTTAATTTTTACATATATACTTCAATTTGAAAGTTAAAATACTGGTATTTATTATATGATATGAAAGATTTGGGCCACATAAATGTATATGGTAAACTTTAGGTGTTAAGCTATGTAAATATATAGGAATTGTCTTGTTGGTATGTAAATGCCCATATAATATAGGGCATTAGGTGTATTTGTATTCTTACATACTTGCAAACTCACTTTGAGATTGGATCTGAAACTTGCTTGCTCTGAACCAATCTCAATTCAATTGATTTCCAAGCAGAATTAAACTTGACTCATTAATCACCTCATTGACCTCAATCAAAATCATTCAAGTCTGTTACATAAATTCCCAGCTCTACTCACTAAAATTAACAAAATTATGATGATCATTGATCTGTTTATTGACTCTGTACTTCCCTTCGTTTATGCTCCTTACTGTTAACAGTAATTAAATTATTGAAGGTTTCTTGTACGCATAATATGCGTTTAAAGAAAGGACACTTTTTGTGATTTGAAAAGCTATTGCTTTGTTAGGTATTTGTTTCCCTTGATTTATTTGTCGTACGATTCCCTTGTTCCATGTTTGGTACATAAAAGAGGAAATTTTAGACCAGAATATTTTGATTTAAAGTTAATTAAAATCAATTTTGATAGTCATAAAAAAATCATATAATTTTTATTCATTAATTATATATTATACAAATTAGGAGTGTAAGCGAACCGAACACAAATGACAGAGCTTGTATTCTTGTTCGGTTTGTTTGAAATTTAGTTTGTTTGAAATAAGCTCGTGTTT